AGAGAGATTCTATTTTGGGAATTCAAGGCTGAAAACATACCATTGAAATATAAATAGATTTATATTTCAAAGGAAGAGTTATTTTTAGAATCGTTCCCTTTTTCACTTCCATATAAGGAAGCAGAAATGATTTTCCTTAATGCGTAAGGTTACAAGGAATGTACGAAGTGTGCCTTTTTACCTCAAATCTGTGTTGGTATAAAACGTAAGAACGCATAGTTTTGCGTGTCCTTTTCATCATGATGTGATCCAAATCAGCTGTTCCGGAATTGTCCGGAGTCTTGTCCACTCCCCCTCCTTTGCAGGAGTGGGGACGTGAACTGTCAGCAATACCAGCCTACCTTTAAATAAACCTGTTTAGAACGTGTGATGGCTTAAGACTGCATTATTTCAATCTAAATACAACACTGATAACAGGGTTGTAGCCCTGTTATTACAAGCGACAGGATTATTACAAGCAACAGGATTATTACAATGTAGGCTGGTATTGCTAACAGTTCACGTCCCCACTCCTGCAAAGGAGGGGGGAGTGGACAAGACTCTTGACAATTCCGGAACAGCTTATCAGGATCAACTCATGATGAAAGGACATGCAAAACTACGCGTTCTTACGTTTTATACCAACACTACAACAACATTTTAATACCAACACCACAACAACATTTTAATCTACTTATTTTTCTACGGAAAAATCTAAAGTTTCAACTGTTTTTATTTCGTAGAAGCAGAGAAAAATCAAAATGATTTAATTTTCAAAAAAATAATTTGGCGACAATGAAGAAATATTTGAATGGAGCTATTTATATTTAAATGTGGCTAACTTACGAGGAACTTGACTTGCGCACGCGTAGCGTAAAATTTCATTTATTTTTTTTCGCTAATAACCGATTGCTAATCCTTTTTTATTATTATTGACTATAATGTTTCTTTTTTAGTCGCCTATAGATTTATTCATAATTTTTCGTTCAGAAATTCGTAATAATAATTAGTAAAGAAATTTGAATAAAACATTTCATTGAATTAAAAACATTTTGTTCAATGAATGTCGAGTTTCATAAAAGCATTTTTCAATAATTGATACAATTTCAATAATGTACATATGCATAGATTTGGAATAATATATTTATTAGTTATTTTTTAATATATATTGTATAATTATTAATACGAATATGTACTCAACATATTTAAGCATCTTAAAATTTCTCAACATCTATAAGATAGTCTTAGACTTAAAATAATTTTTTTTATTACCTGTCCGCGCGTGTTTCACAGAACTATTTTACCAACTATTTAATTAAATCTTAACATTTCTCAAAATCTTTTTCTTTGCGCTACTACGCATAATATTTTTTAATAATATACTAATAAATTTTCTTATTACTTTAATTTAGGTTTTTCCTTAAAGTGAAATTCTTTTTCAAATTATTGTCAAATGTTTATTGAAGAAAAACCTGCCAGATAGTTATTAAAAAATAAATAAAACAAAACAAAATGAAAAAAATAAAATAAGATAAATGAATAAACAAAAATGTGCTGCTTTGATTTCTTTTTAAAAAGTTTTGATGAATTATATATTATTATATATTTTTTTCAATCCAAGAGCCTTAACCATTATCTTACGTAAAACTAATTTTAATATCACGTTCAGTATTTTAATTTAATATACTGCGTCACTAAATCAATAATCCCTACATACTGAAGTGGGAAGATAAAATTTCATTATCTTCGAAAAATATGAAAATAAAAGTCAAGATGTTTTGAGTGCTCAAAAATTCACGTCACGTGTCATGGGCATCTAGCGACCTCTGAGAATGGCAACGTTTGAAGCAAATGTCAAAATTAGGCACCATTTTTTAAGACTCGGCAGACGCGAGCGAAAAAAACTAAAGTGATTTGAAATGAAAAATGCATGGTTGCTAATAAAAAATGTAAAATGAAAGTGAGAAAAAAAATAGAGAAACCGTGGTATCCGAGAGCGAAACGGAGATTAAATTCCTTGCCAGTGCTACCTTGGCTATGTTGTATAAGCCAGACGGGTTTTAAAATTTAGGTTAAAGGAACACAATAGATAAGTCTTTTTTCAAGAATACGATAAATCTATTGCTACACATTCTTTGCATCTTCGGGATAAATTTTGTCTCGATAATGACAAAATTCTAACCATCCCTGCCACATCAGCTCATCTTGGTACCCGTCAATCTTGTTTTATTCATATGGATGCCGATTCCCTTGTTAACGATATTTGTTTCACACTATCTCTCTATAGCACGTGGAAATGCATTTTGCCCTGATTTGTGTTTTCCGGCTATTGCGGTTTTTCTAGTTTTGTTGAATTTTTTTATCCTACTTTTCACTCTTGGGGTACAGCGGTTTCTCCAGTTATATTTCCACTTTTTATGTTTTCTCCTTGGCAACTTCACATTTCTGCGTCATACGGTTTTTTTATTTTATTTTTTTCCCCCTTAATTCACGTCATGCGAGTCTTAAGAATGGGCGTTTTTTTCTTGATATTTTTTGAAGCCCATGATTCGATCTTTGGATTTTTTTGATGAGAATATTATTCTGAAAGAAGCAATTATTATTTCAACGGGGTTCATGTGGCTCTTAAGACATTTAAAATACCATGACACCTATTTTGAAATAAAGAAGTTAATTTTTAATTTAAAATTAAAATTTCGAAACTTAAGGTTTGGTTACCAGATATTTGAAGTTATTTATTGAAATTGATAATTAATACTGCGGTGAACATAACTGCAATAAAATACATTTATCCTCTTAGCTTTGCTGCCACTATTACAGTTTCTTAAGGGCCTTACGAATTCTGTTTTGAAGTATGTATCCAGCAAAAGTTTGGTTTTAAGGTTTTGAAACCATGTTAGTTGTAAATAGTTACAAAACCGTATGGTTTTGCATTCACGTTTAACCATACCAGTTGTAAACGGTTTAACAACCGTAAAAGTAATTAAATGTCCCCGAGCGTAAGCCTTACGGGTAATTAGGAGGACAGACTGCAGTTGGTTATTTTATCGTAATATTCGAATGAAAACTCTAACAGTGGATAATATGGCTCAACTAAGCACCTTAGTAAGTTTAGTGAAAGTTTGAATAATATTTAGGTTCAACATGCTAAGAATTTCAAATATTCTATCAAGAGAAGTTGACGAGGTAAACTAAACATGCTTAAAAAATTAATTATAAATTAATTTAAGTGAAGTTCAAAATAATTATAACATTTTTTTAAAAAAATTGTATAACATCATAAAAAATTAACTATGAAATGTTTTGATATTTTAGGCAATGTGGGCTACGACGTGGAAGGTTGGATGTGGATATACTGTTCACAGTTACTCTAACGATCCAAGGTTTCAATATGTTGAATTATACACCTGCAATTATGGACCAACGTAAGTTAAACGAAGCTTCATTTTATGTATTTTTAAAATTAAAACAAAATACAGATTTTGATTACCAGTTAAAAAAGAAACATTCCTGACTAAAATTTTAAGATATTTTTCATGATCAAATATGCTTTATCATTTATTTGAAGAGAAAGAAGTACCCAACTTAAAATTGTTTTAATCGATCGTATTGTAAAAAAATTGGATTATATCAGAACCCTTATTTTTGATGAAAAAAAGTTTTTATTTTATTTAATAATACAAAAATGTGCTTGCTAGAAGAAGAATTTATATGAAATATTTTAGAAGTTTATGATTAGATAGTTTCACTTCTAAACAAACCAATCTTGTTCATCGAAGATGAATAATAATCCATATTTTATTCAAAAGTAACATTTAAGGGGGAGGAAAAGCAAATTTAAATAATTTTTTTTTCCTTAAAAGAATATATATAGTTTCGCACCTTTTTTGAAAACAAATTACGTATTGCTTTATTTACTTATTTTTATTTATTAATTAATTTATTTTTTGAAACAAAAAAGTGTTTTTTTGGGAAAAGTTTGATAGAATCACGTATATTTACGATTAAACCACATAATTCAAATGCACGTTTCGAAGTCAGCGTGTTGTAATAATAGTATGTATAAATGTAATGAATAGTATTAAAAATATCCAGATTTCAAAAACTATGCGAAAATCAGAATTGAAAGCTACAGAAAAATCGATAAAATCATCACGAATACTCAGATGCGTAATTCAAATTTCCCGTGAAATATATAAAGATATCTGTGGAGTATATCAAGAACATATGAAATATATCGCGATTATATCTGTATTTTAAATAATGATGTGACAGTCTACAGCAATGACTGCCGATAAAAAGATCGAAACACTGCATGGATTCAGCGCTATCGGGTGTTTCAAAAAGTAATTATTCAAATGCGCGAATTTTCATGTTTCGAATTTCTCTTGTCATAATAATATCATATGGAAACATCGAGATTTAATAACCACGTGAAAATCAGTTGCATCTCAAAGATAACGTCAATATCGTCACGTCAAAAAAATGCCTATTCTAATGCGCGATTTAAATTTCGTGTGTCTGAATAATATCAGAGTTGGTAACCAGGAGAAAATAAATAGAATAACTGCTTAAAGAAAATTTTTAAAAAAAATGATAGAAACGTCGCCTGGATTTACAATGAAAGCAAACGTGTTGAAAAGTTATTAGTCGAATGCAGGATCCGAAATTTCTATTTTGTAATACCTTATTAAAATATCAATTTGATCTGATTGTGACCTTGATCTAATTGTAAAGGGAGTCTTTATTTTTTTTAAATTTTTTTTTCGTACGTACGCGTGCATGCACTGGAGGTACGCGTCCATGCACTATGTGATGTTTTGTATTTAATTTTTTCATGAAATTCTCGTGTTCTTCTTAGATTAGGAAATTCTTTTAAAATATAACTGTATTTCGAAATTAAGTCTTAATTTGTAAACCTTGTCCCGTAAAACCTTTAGTTGACAGTTTCGTTTCTGGAACTATAAAGCGCTTTCGTTTAAGTTCAATGATCATCTCGAAATGATTGAGAAAATCAGAACCAATTATGGCATATTTGATATCTGCCATAACGAAATGCCATGGAAAAGATCGCCTTAAATTCAAATCAAGTGTCCCAAGTGACCAGACCCGGATTATACCTTTCGTAGACCCTAGGCATTCGTAGGCCCTAGGCATTTCGTAGGCCTTCGACAGCATAATACAAGATTTCGTTGAATCTAAAAATCGCAAAAAAGTAATATATTAGATCATAAGATTCTGCAAAATAATTTATTACCGAAAAATATTATATTTTTATTTGTATCTTCATAATTTTGTGCAAAATACACTTGTTGTTTTTAAAGCTGAATTATTTTTGCCAACAAATTTTTTTCTCCCAAGTTTTTCGTAGGCCCCTGAATTTCGTAGGCCCTAGGCACTTGCCTAGTGTGCCTATAGGTTAATCCGGCCCTGCAAGTGACACAGGGAAATTGTTAGATACTGATTAATATCGATCGACATTGTGAACGTCGAAGGATATCAAAGCATTTGTGACAACTTGAATACAATAATTGTACGACATCTATCTATAACGCGATTTCATATAATTTATTCCTGTTAGTTAACTTATTTCATAAGGAGCTAAATTAGCGATAAACTTGAAGTAAAATATTTAAGTTAACATAGTAATTCAAAATATTTAAGTGACCATAGTAATTCATATTTGTAGAAAAATGCATAGAGTCAAAATTAAATATCTTTTAAGAATTAATTGTAAACAACATGCCTCTACATTTCATATGAGAGCTAAATTCGTTCGTGAACTAAACTTTTTAAAAGGATGAAACTGGTGCCTTCTGCGTATGAAGATAAACGCCAGTATTGGAATAGCAAAAAACGGTATGTATTTTGCTGCTAAGTTTTATTATTTTTCTGTGTTGTTTTAAAAACTATTTTACTATCAATAACTATAAAAATAATCATTTATTCATTCAATAATGTGAATGTTTTATATATTTTATTATCCGTGTCGTAGGCTTAATCCGTAACATGGTGATATCTTGTCAAAGGGCGCTTTTAAAGGAAACTTTTAAAGGGAACTTTTATTTCAAATAAATTTTTTTTTAAAGTTTCGAATGCATTTTTTTAATGTTTTATTAGAATATTATTAAGAAATGCTGAGTGTAAAAAATATATAATTTTAAGTTACTAACAAAAAGTTTGATTCGTGGAATTTTTCAAATGTTTTTTTTCGTATCAACTAACATTTCTTATACGTTTAGGTAATTATAAAACAAACTAATCCACTCAAATGTGTTGTTATTTCTAATGCCACTTGCTAATATCAGCAAGCCTGCTTTGTGAAAACCAGTGAATTTAAGACAGAGGGTGCGTTTCTTGCTTTTCAGTGGTGCCATCTATGGCCAAGAATACGTCTTAATCAACCGCAAACACAAGTCACAGCCCGTTTTTAAAGACGGACCTCCTCATGCATCCACAGATCGTAATTTTGACCTAACCCAGAGAACGACCCATCTCCAATTCAGTACCTCCAGAGGTATTGTTATGGGAACTTGGAGAACTTTGTGACCCGACAGATTTAACGTGCCTCAGTCACCATTTACAGCATGGGGAGTTTTCGGATCAAGGGGATCGAACTCACGACCTCTTAGACATGGTCCCAACGCCCTACCAACCAGGCAATCCCGCCCTTAATGAAATTTTAGTGTGTATAGAAAATATTTTGATCAGTTGTTTATTAATTACACTCGAAATCACCAATCACTTAAAACATAAATAGAGGTTCTTGAATATTGGTAACACTCCCCAAAAAAGTTTTGTGAATACTTTTCCTGGCAAATTTGCAGAATGTTTAGAATTTTATCTATACTATGCGTTTTTAAAATACCATGCATTTTTCATATATCTTCAGTTATATTTATTGAATAAAATTATTTTACATGCTTATTATCAAGGTCCTAAAACAGGACATGTAAAGTACCTTTTACTTAATTATGTTGCTTTGTATTTAAAAAAAATGCTTGGTAATAACTAAGGCCCGGATTTTGATGACATTTGCATTTTTTTGCATTTTTTGCATTTTTGGACATTTTTCGTCTTTTAGAGCATTTTTTTAGATTTATAGGGCATTTTTCTTTAAATTGTAGGGCATATTTTGCATTTTAATGCATTTTTTAAAGTTTTTTGTTAATTTTTTCCAATGTTTATAATTTTTTATCAATTTTCATTATTACACTGGCTTCCAAACAATGAAGAAAATCTATAGGATATTAACAAGTGAAGCAAAATCTTTTCAAATTGAAGAAGAATTGTCAGTAAGTGAGACCGTCTTTTCCAAGTACGCACCTATAACATCAGTAGACGTTGAAAGAAGCTTCTGCAGGAATGAAAATTTACTTTCAGACAAGAGACGCTCGTTTACATTTCAAATTATCAAAAAACATTTAATAATCCATTGTAATTCTGATATTTAGTAATATTATGAGATGGAATTTGTTATATCCATTAAAGTTTCTATACAAAATAAAAATATTTTGGTGTCAATATATTTTCCTTTTTTTTGTTATTTTAGGATATAAAACATATTTTTTAAACTTTAATGAACGTAGAACAAGTATTGCCTTGCTTTATATTTTTTAAATGAGTCATAATAATTTTAAAGAGCAAAACATTTTTTTAATTCAATATTTTTGCAATTATTTAAATTTTTTGCGCAATTTTTGCATCTTTAAGGGCATTTTTTGCCCTTTTTAAGGGCATTTTTTGCGCTTTTTAAGGGCATTTTTTGCACTTTTTAAGGGCATTTTTTGCACTTTTTAAGGGCATTAGTTGAGATTTTTTAGGTCATCAAAATCCGGGCTCTAGTAATAACTCTTTAAAACATTTAATACATAAGTCGATGAAGGCCATTACGGTATGTAAAACCATGTTCGGTTAGTTGATCAAGAGTAATAAAGTAATACCAAAATTTATGTGTAACAATAATCTAAACACCAGTGGTTTCCAAATAGCGTTCCACGGATCCCTAGGGTACTGTGGAAAAATTTAAAAGTTCCGAAAGTTAAGACTTTTTTTAAATAATATTTTTTTAACGTTTTTGAGAACTAAAATTGCATTTAGATCCGATCTAGAGTCATTATTTACTTATATTTTAGTTGCCTTAAGAAAATTATTAAAGTAAAATTCCAATACGAAAGAATTGGAAAGTTTTTGTTTAAGAAATGTAATTTTTTTTAATTACACTTTATTGAATAAATTATGAAGAACCTATGCATTTTTAAAAAACTGCAATAGAACTTTCCATCACGCTTTTCAAATCAATATGAGATAACTAAATTCATTAAAGAAATATGGTTTACTAATTTTACCATTTCTTAATTACCATTTTTCAACGTTTATTGCTGTTATTTAACCTTTCCGTCTTATTTCTAAATATTCCCCTCAAAAAATTCACTGAAATTTGGGTGAAAAACTTGAGTTGGATTGGATTGAAAAAGTTGAGTTGTTGCGAAATAAAAGTATTTTCAAAATAAAATATTAAGGTGTAATCCAAAATATTCACATTATATTAAGAGCCCATTTGACATATAGGAAAGCATATACAGTGAGCAAAAAAAAAGGCTAAATATTGTTCAAAAATGAATGACACATTAAGACACAGCGCTAAAAAATCATTCATTTATGATTTTCTTTTTGATTAAAAAGTTAATTAAATTAAGAGAAAAAAAATTCTGATTGCTTACCTAAATTCCAAAGCAAAAATCCTACCTATTTTCATAAAACTAACATGACATAACACATTAAATTGAAGAAAAAAATTTATACAAGAGTAAATTAAAAGTGACCAAAGTCCATATGGTCATTCTCTAAGGTCACGCTTCCCTTTGTTTTTGCCAGGCTACGTCTTTGGGAATATTGGTATGAAGCTTAAGTAAAATTTTTACATAAAGAACATTTAAACATAGAAAAAGTTAATCTAAGAATACAAAATAAAAAAATATGTAAACATATTTTTAAAACAAATTATATTTAAGAAAAAAGAAAGAAAGAGGAACTCAATAATTTAGTGAACATTAAATCTCGTTCCCCCCCCCCCCCTAACTGGCTTTCCCCCCTCCAGCCCTGTATCTTGTTCCTCCTGAAGTTGTGCATTAAGGAAAATACTTAGTATACTTAGTTTTCACTATTGGTCACTATTTAAGTTCTGCAATCTTCATCAGATTGATTGAAAAACAGAAGCGAAAGCATATTGCTGATTTTGCAACATCTGGGAAGCTCATAGTTGTTTTATCAATTGAATTCAATATCCCACCATTTTTTTTTTTTTTTTTTTTAATAACTGAGCGTTTACGGCACCTTATAAACAGCCGTCGTTTCTCTTGTCGAAAACCTTCAGCTGTGCATTAAGGAAGAATAAGTATACAAAGTTTACCATATGCAAAGAGCATGGTCGGATTTAATACAACAAATTATTTATATTTTATGTACGATAAGAAAATTAGAGACCACAAAGCAAACACAAAAACGTACTTTCTCTGAATAAATATTTTTATATATTTATTTATTTTAATGGCTGTCACTTGGGTCTGTTACCCTCAAGGTATGTAACTTTTTGTAAAATTCTAAGCTAAATAATTTTAAATGACAAAAAAAACGAAATTTAAAAGGTGTCAGTCGAATAGTTTTAGAGGAAGTAAAATTTAGAAATTTGGCTTTTTTTCAATTCTTTAACTCAACAGTTATTCGTTCAATGATGCTTGAGTTTTAGATTTTTGTTAAAATTTCTTTGTTTAAAATGATAAAAATAATAGATAATAAATAGATAGTAAATAATAGATAATAAAAAATAATAAATAATTATTGTGAATTATTTTGACGCGGAATTATTTTTGGATAAATAAATTTTACAACTGTGGGCAAAAATATGGAATTTTATAATTGTGTGCAAATTGGTGCCCGAAACATAACTAAATACGGAGAAAGCAAAATTAAAATATTATTAAGAAATGCTGNCTATGGCCAAGAATACGTCTTAATCAACCGCAAACACAAGTCACAGCCCGTTTTAAAGACGGACCATGAAGTTGTTTGCTTGATATGCAACCGTGTTAAATGGTTTTTGATTATAGCTTTTAATTTTTTTTTCAGGGGAAACTTGTACATGCAAGATATGTACAAAATTGGTTCGCCGTGCAGTCAGTGTCCAGATAATACTTGCTGTGGTAGAGAATGTGAGATGATTGGCGTTCGTTCTGATTATGAAGGCCTTTGTAGTGAGTACCTTATTACATTTAATATAAAATGGAGGCCCTGCTTCAAAGCAAATTGCTGTGTCAAAATGCAAAATAAACCGGCAAAATAAATATCAAGATTTTGTTTCAACGAATCAGAAACATTATTGTGTTTCAGATTGATTTAATTTACGTTGGCATTCAGAATTATGTTTGGGATATTGTTTGGAGCTTTAGTGCGGCTTGTTTATATAGCCAAGAATTCGCGAAAATCCATCTCCTATTAAACTGGTGCAAAAAATAAAGAGAATTAGCAGACTTGGCCGTGTATACTATGGTATATTAGTAATAAAGATTACAAATATACCATAGTATACACGTCTTTATACCATCCTTAATTTAATAGATTTTGAGTGACACCACAGCTCGGAAATAATTAATTTTTGTAGTTCCAATAACTTATAAATAGTTAATAAACAAATTTCTTTACTTTACTTAGTTAACGAAGTTAGGGGTTGACGCGTTAGGGTTCAAAATGGATTCGTTTGGATTCTGAAATGCTCTCAATTACATTAGTGAGTCACACTCACAATGTCACATTATGCATAAAACTTATTAAGAAACCGTTATTTTCCTTTACTGTTTGAGTTTTCTACAAATGAAAGATTAATATGGAAAATCCATCATTGCGAACTAATATTTACAGATTTTCAATGTAAATAAACTCAATAAAAAGCTGTTTAAATACTTTTTGTTTAAATATTCTTTTTTACGTCTTCTTTTTATCATTTAAACTTACTGCAATTTTTATTAGCTTTTATAAATTTAGTTTTATTTTATATTTCATAACCGTCGTTGAACAACGGACACAATTTTATAGGCTTACGATTTCTAAGGTTCAACTCAGTAGCCTTCTAATTTTGAACCCCATCCAGAAGACAAGGGAACTCCTGGATCAAATATTAGGAGAAATTTGCCTTATTGGAGGAATTTTCGATGAAACTAGCCAGCATTTACATTACATGGAGAGGGAAACCACGAAAACCACCCTCTGTTATCCTGACGGCAAAGGGACTCTAACCCATGATCCGTCTACAACTGAGGATATTTTACGTTAGCACTGTAGTCGGTGCAAGCCGGGGGCTGAATTCGTATCGACTAATCATCGCTGCTATTCGAACCCGGTTCACCTCATTGGAAGGTGAGCGCTCTATCCCCTGAGCCATCGTGGCTCAGAAGCAACATTTAGAGTATAAGTGAATTGGTTAAAAGAAAAAGAACCGCTTAAGATAAAGATCAAATTATAGCATATGAAGTCTATAAATGTTTTCGCGCATAAATATTCAGTTTCTTCATTAAAATTTATACTAAACCCATTGTAAATTTTGATTTTTTCGTACGAAAACAAGCTCTTTGACCCTATATACAATATGATTAGCGTAAACAATGTAATTAGTGTCATAAAATAAAATTAAAAAAATTACTTTTCATTAAAAACTAAAATTTTGATTTTCAATACATGGTTAAGCCAGAATTTCGTAATTTTTGCGTAACTGAATGCGTTAATTACTTTTCCCCAAATCTCATTTAGCGTGCGAGCGCTAATCAAAAACTCGTTTAGACATAATTATTATTTTAATAATCCTTTTTAATATTTTAGCATTTATTTTGTGATAAGGCAAATTGTTTTTAAGTTTGTTACATAATTCCTGAGTAAGAAAATAAAAATTTCATTAGTTTTATATCACTATTTTACCGATTTCGTTCTTATTTTATGTTAGGAATTATTTAAGAGGACAATATCGATCCCAAAGGACTCTAAATAATATTTTTTAAGGTAGGTCTGGTTTTGGCTGTAATAAAGGGGCTGACTGATTATTAGGGACTAATGATATTCAATTGTAAATTTATTGATAGCATTTATTGAAACATGATTATCAAAAAAGCTTCGTCGATTCTGGTTTAAATTTTGTCAGTTTAAACTAAATGATTGAAAAAAATGTCAAGATGTGTTTCATTTACTGACCAACACTTTTTCGATCTTCATTAAATTAAATTATAAATAATTGTGAAAAAAAATTTCTTATTAATTCCTTTTGCTGAGGTAAAGCGCAATATGTAAAAACAAAACTAAATTTTCTTCAGGATAATTTTTAAATATATAAATAATTTCTAAATGTAATAATTAATAATAAATGAATAATAATAATGAAGGAAATAATTTCTAAATGATTGAAAAAAATGTCAAGATGTGCTTAGTTTACAGACCAACACTTTTTTCGATCTTCATTAAATTATATTATAAATAATTGTGGAAAAAAAATCTTCTTATTAATTCATTTTGCACAGGTACAGCGAAGTATGTAAAAACAATATTAAGTAACTAATTTTTCTACAGGTATCTTAACTAAATTATTAGTAACAAAACTTCTATATATATATATATATATATATATATATTGAGTAAATTTCTATGCACCCCTTTTTTTAATTAAGTTGTGGTCTACACCAATTATAAAGATATTTCTTGAGGACCCCTCAAATTGTGAAGATAATATCCTTTAGATCCAGATTCGAATCCTATCTTTGACTGCTCTAATCATATTCTGATTCCGGTTCGCATTAACCACAGTGCAGATGAAAATTATTCTCAAAGGTAGATTGGTCATATTTAAAAGTCCTCCTGACGTCGGGACAACGAAAGTGTAGTCTTCTTCTCTCTATAACGGAAAAGTAGGTGAATTCTTAGACTTTCAAGGCAAGTTTGGCCCTATTGCTTGATCCAGGAGCTTCCTTTGTCTTCTGGGTTAGGTCAAAATTACAATGTAAAGAAGTTTGAAGTTGCTAGCCATAACTCCGAGAAATTATCGACTGTTGAAGCCAGGTATAAATAAAAAATAGTTAAGAGCGTAGTATAGTATTGTTGTTTTTTAATTTGCCTATTATACCCATAACTGCCCAATAATTCGAATTACTGACATTTTTCATGAAATATTTTTGATTATTTCTAAGATTAAAAAGATTGCATATTTAGATTCTAGTTTAAGGTAGACTAATCTTTGGAATTAAGTAATTCAAGCAGCGTTCTTCGGTAAAGTGAAGTGAATGAAGTGATAAATTATAATATTTTTTTTAAGTATAAACAGACATCACATCAACAAGTTGACTGTTATTTCATCAACTGTTATTTCTAAGTCGTTTGTAGCGTTATAAGTTGTATATTATAAGCATACTGAATCAAATGATAAATTAATGTATGCTATGAATCTCAGCAGATGAGATCTTTTCTTATGGTTTTTACTGCGCGTGACATTTTTTTCCCAGACAGTTTTATCTCAAGGTCATCTTTATCCTCAAAAAACTAACAGTTCTGGCATTTTGAGAGATTAAAAAAGAAAATTATCATAGCAAAAAAAGAATCCATGGAATTAATCCTAATAATCTATCCTCATAGGAAGAATACAAATAACCTCACATTTTACCTTACAAGTGAAAAAAAATATAATCATCTAGGGAAAAATTATAATCATCAGGAAAAAAATAAAAATCACCAGGGGAAAAAATAAATGCTAAAAGGTAGAAAAGATCTGTATAGCTTAAACGAATTTCAAACGTGCCTCGAAAACAACCAACCATTTCTTTATTAAAATCGATGAATAAATATTCTAAATAACATTTTAGTTATTTTAAGTAAATTAAAGTTTTCTTTTTTTGTCTCTTCATTTTTTTCAGACTTAGTAAACAAATTGCTTGGGTTAAATAATTTGATTTGTCCCAAACTGTTTGTGTAAGGGGAAATTTTTAAGGAGTTTTCAAAAAAGCATCTGCCTTCATTCATGTATTAATTATTACAGAAACACACTTTCCATTAAATGAAGGTGTGAATTTTAAAAAAAATTATAAATTCCACATTTAAAAAAATGGCATGTGTGTCAAAATGAAGACTATACTTTCCCTTTAATTACTTCTCCTCAAGCTTCAAGTTAGCGAAATTTATTATTTTTATCGCCCATTAACCGTTTTCGTCTTGGCGTTCACATACATCTTTGGCGCCTTTTGTATGTTGCCAAACAAAATACTAGATTCTTTCGACTGTCAGTTGCGAAATGTACCTTACACTTTCTTCCATTTCGAAAACAACATTGTAATGCTGATGCGTAGTGTTTTCACCCACTGCAAATTTTAAGACGTGAAAAAATATCTAAATGTTTCGTTAAGTAAAACTAAAATAAGATCTTTCTTTGAGAAAACTCAATTTATTTTAAGAATGTCACTCAATTAAATGTCACTTAAAATATGTCACTTAGACACACTTAGACTATAGATTATGCATGCCAAATATGAAACTACATATATTGAATAAATAAAATTCTGACGTTCTTTCTTGATATTCTATTATTTTAATTATTCTTTTGAATAATTATTTTTATCACAGAATTAAATCAAAATATTACCTATAATATTCTATTGTATTAATTAGAATAATAGCTGCTTGTATATATAGTTTTTTTAGAATTATTTCTTTGAAAATTGATTTCATCAATTGGATAATATTGAATCCAATCATCATTTTCGTTATCCTTTCACATTTGTTTGAATCATCGGCTTGAGCAAGGGGGTGGGGAGCAGACGCCTGAATAACCTTTAAAATTTTCTTTGTAAAGAAATGAAAAAAAATTAAAAATTACTTAAAAAAATAAATTATAATAATTTCGATATTTCCTTCTTTTTTTAGCATTAGAAATTAGAAGCAATTCTTATAAATTTATTTATTTATTTTTTATCAAAGGGATCTTTTTGCTCGATGTATCATTTAGAAAAAATGAAATATCACTAACAATTTAAAATAAATATTAAAAAAAAACTCTTTAAGAAAAGGATTGCTGAGTTCCTTTTTAGATGATGGGACAATATTTTCCAGGCTGTGGCTACGGGGATGTAGGTAAGGGCTCAAACACCCCATTGTATGCGGCAATTTTCTGTTTTTTCGTTTATTTTGGAGGATTTTTTTTCTATTTAGTTTTAGAACATTTGTTTAAATA